AACATAGCCCAATGTGCAATGTCCAACATAGCCCAGCATATTGCACAAGAAGTAAATCTCTGTATGAGTACCGAAATTGTCATTCGCCGGGTATTTGGTGGCAGAGACTCTTCCACATGAAACAGACTCTGAACACCGCAGCAGCAACATTTGATTCAAAGACTGACTCTGCAACTTTGAAATTGTGGTAGCCAGGCTGGCTGGCACCAAGCACAGGTGACTGACTCATCCACTGGGAAACTAGGGAACCTGCTGTGAGTATTCTGCCCTGATCTTGATACACATATCGATGCATGCCCTGCAATATCTATAGCCCCATTGTTGCATATGCACTTGCTGGGTGCAGTGTTATACTGATGGACTGCTCAGCAGATCGCCATTCTGAATTTTTTGCTGTCCTTGTGTCCATATTGTTAAAGGCCTGTTGTGTTGCCTCAGGGAATTTGGTGCAGAAGGGAAAAATACAATTCTGGCAGGGCACTTGGCAGGCCAACCGTCAGGCCCCAGCTCCTTTCTTGTGTGCCAGATCCTGGTGCAAAGGGATCTGATGGCAGGCTACATATTGGCAGAGGCAAGGCAGAGATCTGGCCGGGATGATGGAAATCTGGGTCACATTGTCCTTTGCAGAACCTTTGCGTTGCACCTGGGATCATGGGTATTTGTGCAGCCAAGGCATGCTTTGATGGTGAGGGCTGGACGTGCACTCCCTGGTCAATGGACTTCAACCACAAGTGTGCTGTCCATCAAGTAGCGTGGCGTACTTGATTCTCACGCATTGCTCACATGTTGCTCATGTGGCTGTCGCTGATGAGCGTTGAGGAATTGGGTCCCACAGAGCAGCAGCTCAAATGGGGGTACCAAGAGAAAGCAAAGGTCGAAAACATCTGGGTACAGGTGTACTTTGAACTGTTTGCATTTATCGAAATGACACTTGTCACTTGCTGCCCTTGCACCCTGCAGGATGTTGTGGAGCGGAGTTTGGTACATAGTGTGCAGAATAGCGAGTTGAAAGCATCTTGCCATCGTGTTGATATGTAAGTGATCAGATAGGACAAGTGCAGACACTCGCAATTGAGACATGTGGAAACTGTCACAGGTTTTGGACACAGAATGCACTTGTCCACTTCTGTCCTATTAGCATGTGCTTGTCATGCATTGAATGGCCACCTTTTTTCAGGCGCAGTGCAACAGAAGGCATTGAGCATTGCTGTGCAAAGCATCTTGTGACAAAAAAACACCGGGATCGTCTCGTAGGTCATCGAGTTGGGGAAGAATATGTGGACATGGTACTACTCGCCCCATCCCGAGCCGTGCCCTTCAAAGGACATGTTGCACATTTGCACAAGTTCACGCTGAGGTACTTTGCAAAGAAGATGCTTCTAAAGCACTCTACCAAACTCCAGCAGCGGCACCCGCCAGGTGGGTCTGCAATGTTCACAAAGGATGTTGTTTTGCTTTTCTGACACGAATGGACATATACAGGAGATTTTGTGTTGACAGCCAAAGAATTTGATGCACTTGGCTCGCAATTTGAGTGCTGGGTGGGTTACGATTTCTTCTTGGCTTCTGTAGCCTCGCTCCAAGGAAAGGTCCGTTGTGCTGTGCTTGGCCAATATATCGGTGGCACCATGGTCATGCCCCTGCCTCCATCATATACATTAGTATCTGAGATTGCATGAGAAGGTAAATCTGTCGATCACATTGTCCAAGGACTAAGGGGCTTGTTCTTGTCGCCTTGTTGTCAACAAGCAACTTGAGAGCAAGTCGTGCACGTTCTGAAGACGTTTCCCCTCGTTTCAGGTGATGAAATCTGCAGCCACCCCCTCCCACCTGCATTCAACCTGGACTATATTGGGGGCTGCATCAGCAACCTGCCTGTCTCTGTCTTTGGGGTGGATGGCAAGAAGAACAAGCTGTACTGCCGGAACCCGCGCCTCCTGTCCAAGCTGTGCCTGGACCACAAGACACTGTACTACGATGTGGACCTCTTCCTATCCTGCGTCCTGTATGAATGCCTGGAGGATGGGTGTGTGTTCCACTGCTGTGTTGAATTTCAACGCCAGAGCCCTGTTACTCTGCTGTCCAGCAGGTGGCACAGAACGATCCTGCGCACAGCCTTGCATCACAGCTGCCCTCCGAACATGGTGCAAGGCTGTAAAAGGTACCCAAAGGGCATGTGCGAGGAATGTGATGGAGGTTCGCTTGAAGTATCACAAGAGCATTGTTCCAGTCTGTGTCTAAAGGTGAAAAAAGGTCGAAAACCTGAAAACCCCCTCAGTAAGGAAGCACTACAGATTCTTCAATTCGACAAGTGTGCATTGACAGAAGTTGGATGGATCGATTGGCAGGTCACACAGTGTGCCCCATTTGGCTTGACGGGTCTGGATGCATCAGAGAAGTTGAGAAACACAGTTGCCTCTTATTCTAACCCTTCCTTTGGAGAATCACAGTCCAATCTTATCTGATGTACCCTTGTGATTGTACCCACCATCGATAGTTGCCAGATTCTCCCTCCCACTGACGATCCCATCGTCCCCTCCAGGGACCATCACATTGTGGGGTACTTCTCCGTAGAGAAGTACTCACCCAAGGACCTCAACCTTGCTGGCATCTCAACCCTCCCACCGTTACTGGCGGAAAGGGTACAGCCGCTTCCTCATCGCTCTTGCATACGAGCTGTCCAAGCGTGAAGGTAAGATTGGCACACTTGAGCACCCCTGGGGCAGGAGTGCCTGGAAGCGAGTCGTGTGACTGTCAATGGAAATAGGTTCCGATTGCCAGACTGCGCACTTGTGCCTTCACAACAGCGAAATCATGTAGGAATAGGGCACAATGCCACATCGAAGGAGAGTCAACACTTTGTTGTACTTTGGGGGAGTACACATTGCCCTGCACTGTGGTGCTGTGACTTGTGGTCATGATCGCAATCCCAACTATATGCAGATGAAACAACATTGTGTTGTACAGCATAACGTTTTGTATCCTGAGTGCTGATATGAAATACCAATCCCTGAGAGGCGAACTGCATACAAGGCTCAGGTGCAGCAATGAAGGCCCCAAGTTCATTTTATGGCACAATCATCGCATGTGCTTTTAGGTCAGCTTTAGGCGCTACTGGACGAGGGACATCCTTGAAGTGCTGAGGCAGAAGAAGGGTTCCGTGAACACAGGCGGGATCATGGAGTGCACAGCCATCAAGCACGACAACGTCGTGCATGTGTTGATTGGCCTGAACCTGCTCGAGTATTGGAGGGGCCAGTACATAACGTTGGAGAGCTCAAGGCCACAGGCTACGTGGACAATACGAAGGCGCTTGAAGAGAGGCTGGAGGGGGGGGAGGGGGTGTAAGGGGGGAATGTGCGTGCGTGCTTGCGTCCGTGTGTGTGTGTATGCGTGCGTACGTGTGCATGTCCTAAAATGGAGCACCCCGTCTTAGGTACAACGGGCTTGTTCCGCTTTGCAGTACCGTAAATGCCACCATCGGCAAGAATGAAATCGAGCATGATGCATGCACTAAATCTGCAAACATGTATGCCCAGGTGTCTCTGGGGGTACTCCCATGGGCTAAGGGGGGCAATTGATGCGCTCGTCACATAACCCCTTGTGGCATCACATCCACTTCGCTGCACATCTCTACCTGACACGCTTCCACAATAATACATCAAGTAAATTCGTAGCTCATTTAGCCCGCAATGAACCCACACCAAGTGTACCTACGATCATCACAATCCACACAATGTTCCCTGGCAATCTCACTCTCGCAAGGTGATCAACTAAACCCCTTCATCACAAGGAGAAACACGCACATCACTTCGAATTACTCTCTTCCCGAGTGTCCGAAATCAATTGAAATCAAATCAGCTAGACCATCACCTTCAATTAAATAGCTGGAGGGCATCATTTTATATATTTTGGAGGCCCTTGTCATCTTGCACTTGAAAAATAGACAATGAAGTGTCAAATGTTGACAATCCTAATCCCAATGGTGACTGTTGTGCGGTTTCGCTGTTCGCGCTCCTCGCTCGCGCTCACACACGGTCGCCCCCAGGCACAGGGAGCAAGCCGTAACCAGATCGATTACAGAATGGTTCTGTCCGTCATGTAGCATTCACTGCAAGCATGTTTAGTTCGTGTCTTTCCCCCATCATTCTCCATGTCGCCATAATAGACACCGTACCCCATGCACCACACTCACTTAATTACTTATACACCTTTTTCTTATCCGCACACGCTTCCCTGCGCTAAATTGAAACATGACTTGAAATACCATCAGTTTAAACCATATCATGGTACGGCCGTATCATATCCGTGTGTCTAATCCAAAGTTTCCCCTCCGGTCCCTTAACTTCCCACACCGAAGTCGTGATAGGACGAATCAACTGGCCCGGCCCTTTCCACCATGGCTCGAGCTTGTCCTTCAATGTTTCCACCTTTGTGTTCCACAGCCATACCCGGTCTCCTGCCTTGAACATTCGCGCGATGCGCCGCCCTCTCGTTCTGTGGTTCGCTTTTTCTCGCTGCTGGCGTGTATACTCACGCAACTGACTCCACACTTCCTGCGAACTATTCCACAATTGCTCTGGCGATCCAAATGTGAACGAACTAGGGGTTTCTTTGCTCTCTTCTGGCGAAGATAGAGGCGTATCATTGTAGATATCCACTGCTCGCTCAACTGTACTGGCAAAATACCTGGGTTGCTCTGCCCTCATTCGCCGCAAACGATTCAATAAAGTTTGATTGAACCGTTCCACAAAACCGATAGAAGCGTGATGGTATGGAGGAGAATACTCTTGCATCACTCCCTCCTGCATGCACCATCGCCGCAATTCCTTGGACTGTGTAGCCTTGCAGACATCAGAACACAAAATTGAAGGTGCTCCCTGTGTTGCTACCCACTTCTTCAGTCCCCTCACAATATCAGCTCCCCCGGCACCAGTTGTTGCCCACGCCCCTGCCCGTCTTGTCAACATGTCCACAATAACGAGAACAAACCGCTTCTTCCCAACTTTTCTCTCCGGAAAAGGTCCCATAAAATCTAGGCCAATGACCTGTCCTGGTCTCTCCGGCACATGCCAACTGCCAAACGAGCTGGACGGTTGCGGTCGGTGAAACAACTGGCATTCTTTGCATGACCGCACTCTATCCACAACCCATTTCCACTTTGGACGCAGGCCCATTTGGCGGAAACGAAGAAATGTCCTCTTTACTCCAAAATGCCCGGCATGAGCCTGCTTCCATTGTGCCTGGGAGATAACTGAAGAGCGATGTTCTTCCACTGCGCGAACATGAGAAGGTCCCTGGATCCATGCCCCTTGCCAGGATAAAAAATCAGCGAGATAATTAAATGGCCCCGGATAAAAAGAGATCTGAGGAGAGTACCAAGAGAGGAGATCCAGACGGCGTTTGAGAAAATCGCTAAGGTTAGCAGGATTGTTGAAGCTAACTGCGGCCTGGTTGTCCATAATTGCGTGAACAGAGGCCCCAAAGATCCAAGGCCGGAAGGTCCGAAGAGCTCGGCAGAGCGCCTCCAACTCCATAACGTTGCTGACATGGTGCTGAAAACCAGTAGACCATAACCCATGGGCACAGCGCCGATCTTACGGCCAGCAAGCAGAACCGCGCCCCAACCAATCTTACTCGCATCAGTAATAATTGTGAAGGAACGAGTAGAAACAGAAGCAGGAATAGCACATCGAATGAAATGATGGCGTAACAAGGAAAGAAAATGTCGCCATCGTTCTGAGGAAGGATGTGCTTGAACCTCCCGCAAAGCTGCCAACACGAGATGTCCCTTCCAGATGAAGCGAGCAGAATGATTCAACCAACCTCGAATTCGACGCCAACCTGACTGAGTTGTAGGCATGGGCGCCTGCTCAAATTGAGTCAAAACCGAGGCTGTAGGCTGGAGCCCGGAAGAAGTCAAAGTAACACCCAGATACTCAAACCGGTCCTGGCAAAAGTGGCATTTGTCCCAGTTCACCCGCCAGCCGTCTCTCGCCAACTCCTCGAATAAAATATCCATATCCCGTCTATGCTGTGACGTAGACTGTGAAAGTAAGAGAATATCATCCATATAAAAAATGATCTGAGAATGAATGCGTCGTGAAACTCGTCGAACAGTAGGCCACAAAGCTCGCAGAAATTCATGCGAGCTATTCGAATAGCCAAAAGGTAAACGTGTGTACTCAAAGAACCGTCCTGCCACCGCCAATCCCACTGCGCGCCACAGGCGGGGAGCAAGCCGCACTTGCAGGTAGGCATTAGATAAATCCAAGGCTGAACCAATGCGAAATGGGCGCAATGAGGCTAAAGACATCTCCCGATGAACTGGCAGGAAAGGCTGGTGCCGAATACACGAGTTGAATTTCCTAAAGTCCAGAACCAGCCGAGTGGAACCATTCTTCTTGGGCACACCGAATGCCGGAATCACAAAGGGCTTGTGGTCTACCTCACGCACTGCTCCAAGCTTCACTAGTTTAAGAACTTCCTCTAACACCTTAGCTTCCTCCGCTGGCCCGGTCATGGGATTACGGGGCTGGGATTTCCATGGAAGCGGAAAGCGAAAGGGAAAGTGGCTAACCACATACGTGCGACACGTCCCAAGCCCAGCCTGAAAGACAGCGGGATATTTAGACCGTAATACAGACAACCATGCGGGTTGTGGTGTAGGGGCTGGAGCCGCATTCCCGGAAGATTCCCTGAGTGCCTGACAAAAACCCTGTCCCTTGCGACCCTCTGGAATCAAAACTACCCCCTTATCTGGAATGCGAAGCTACTGAACCGATGTGCGGCAAGCTAAAAGATCATAGCGGGGCATCAATTGCTGTGGCTCTGCCGAAAAATTCTTGAGAGCTCCCCAAATGCGAACGCCATCTGTTTTAACAAGAAACGTAACCTGGCGATTGGGAAGAGTCACGAAATATTCATGCAGGGAACCAATGGGAAACTTGCATGGCAAATTAATCCCGCGTGTCTCATAAGGCCCCAGGACCACACTGCGATTCA